GGCGGCAGCGGCGGCGGGGGAGAAGCAATGTCAGCGACTGGGCAGCGGAGGGGGGCGAGAGTGCCGGCCGGGGGGAGGACGCACGACGGACACATTGCGGTTGGCGGCGATCTCGGAGTAGACATCGCTCTTGGGGTCCGGGAAGTCCGGATACATCTGGAAAGCGGGAACATCGCTAAGGGGCTCCATGGTTGCGGTCTGTCGACGGTGGCGGGCGGGGGGAGGGGGGGAGAGAGAGAGAGAGAGAGGGGGTTAGTCAGCGCAACGGGGCGCGCAAGGGAAAGGGGGGGGGGCAGGGGGCGCTGTCCAAACAAGGAATGGGGCGTGGCAGGACGCACTTCACGGGGGAAGGGGCGGAGGGAGGGGGGGGCCTGGCGCGGAGGTACTCCTGCGAAGCGAACACTCGGACAAACCGGGCCGGAAGGTGAGACCAGACCAGTGGCTAAGATCCGGGCGAGGGAGGGGGGAGGGGGGACGGCACCCGCGGCGAGGCGAGAACCGGAGGAAGTTGCTCCACGGGTGGGGGGGAGTGCCGAGCGCTGGAGACGAAAGGAGGGGAAGGGGGGAGGGGGAGGACAGAGACCGAAGGAGGACGGGATCAACTGCGCGCACGGGGGCGGTGTGAAATGTTGCCTGCGGGCCGGACAGCACCCTCCCAGCGAGGGTGGCCCTTGAGGTGCGGGGCCGCGCCGGGCGGGGCAGCGAGGACAGACACCGGGGGGAGGGGGGGGGGCGGGGGGCGAGGGGCGCCCACGGCCGCACCCACGCACACCAGCACCGGGCGCACTCTCCCCCCCCCCCCTGCAGCCGCCGCCTCGCGGCTGGTCCCGCCGGCGACAGTCAGTAACTTAATCCCGGCGGGGATCTGCCGGGAGCCGACGAAGGCGGGGCGGGATCGGAGCGGGGCGAGGGGGGTGACGCACGAGCCGCAGGCCGCGCGCATCATTGCCTGAGGTTATCAGCTTGCCGCGCCCCCTCCCCCGCCCCCCCCCAGAGAGGGACCATGTTCCCCCGGGTGCGATGTGGCCCTGTCTTTGGCCCCAAGCGCAGCGCAACGCGGAGATCGGGCCCCACACCGGGCAGCCGGCCCCGGGGGAAGAGGACATCACACGGCCGAGACACGCACCCCGGGCCGGGCCACCCCCGCCCGCCCCCATCCGGCGAGCGGACCCGCAGGCGCGCGGCGCGCGGCGAGGGCACCGGGAACGATGTACAGCCTGGCCGGCGCCGAGGCCGGGCGGGGGGGGGGGGGGTGCTGGGCGATTTTGAACTCGGCGCTCGGGTGGCCGGGCAGCCGCAGCTCTCCCAGCGGCGCTCCCACATTTGCCGGAGGGCCGAGGCAGCGTGGGACCGTCCGGGCCCCCGGCTGGAAGGCAGGCCCCGGCCCGATGTGGGGGCAGGGGGGAGGGGGGGGGGGGGGGGGGGGGGGGGGGGGGGGGGGGGGGGGGGGGGGGGGGGGGGGGGGGGGGGGGGCATGCGTGTGGCTGTGCGTGTACGTCCGGCCCGGCGGCCCCGCTCAAGCTCCGCCTCACTGGCGGCCGAGCGCGCGCGTGTCCCCGCCGGCCGCCGGGTCGGCAAGAAGCCCGGCGAGCCGGCAACAACAACAACAACAACAACAACAACGATGATGACAACACCGTGGCCAGCGGCTTGTTTGGGCGCTGGCGGCCAGACGGCCGGGCCGGCCCCACCCGCCGGCCGGCGTGTCTGTCGCGCTGTGAGCCGGCGCTGCCCCCCCCCCCCCCCGCGCCCCCTGCTACTCGGGGCCCGTGGCAGGACAACAAACGTCCGGCGGTGGCCCCTCCGGGAAAGGCCGGAGGGCCGAGCACAGGCGCCCCTTTTCCCCCCCCCCCACATAAGCTGGGGCACCTCCAACCGGCACCCCGGGAATGCGCGGTCGCCGACTGCAAGGGGCCGGGGGAGCCTGCCGATCGTCCGGAGCCAAGTAGACGGCCGGGGCCGGCGAATGCGCAGGGAAAATGCCCCCCGCCCGGGGCCCAGGTCCCACCAAGTCGGACACGGGCGCCCCTGTGCGCGGCGAGAGAAGAGGGTCCACACAAACCACGCAGGTGGCTGCTGGCAGCCGGACCGCCGTGGGTCCGGCCCAGCGAGCATGCCCGCCGGCGATGGTGGCACGCACTAAAGTCCCCCGGCACTCTGGTCGTCGGGTGAAACGCCGCGCACGCTCAGGCCCCCGGCCCCCCGCCGGGCCCTTGGCTGCGATCTGCCCCGGCCAGGCACCCGCGGCCAATGCGCGTGCGCGTGCGCGTGCGCGTGCGAAAACCACCACCCACGGACCCCGGCCCTTCGGCCGCCGGCCTTCCGGATGGGCTAACTCCGGCGCCCGGCTCCGGCCCCCCGGCCGGCCGGCTGCCCCAGCCAAAAGTCCCAGCGCCAGTCCCCCCGGGCGGGGGCACACGGGGTGACGGAGATTCTTCCCCGATAGCATCCCACGGTATGGAGCGGATCGAGGGTTGGCACAACAAATTCACCATTAATCGGTACAAGTCCCCGTACAATTCACCTTCGGCCTTCTGGCCCTCGGCCGGTGTGCACGGGCCCCGGCCGCGCCCGCCGCGCCCTCGCCCGTCCCCAAGTGACCAGGAGGCCAAATTACCGAGACCCCGCCATTGCCGGCCGGCGGCGTACGGCACCGGGGTCTGGCCTAGAAACCAGGGCCGCGTGAATCTCCCGACGCCGGGTCACGTGCGCTAACGCGAGATAGCTGGCCTCGCCGCGAAGAAATTCACCGAGGCCGATGGGAGGAGCCCCCTGGCGAAAAAGACAAGACACTTTCCGGGCGTCCGCGGGGGGAGAAAGGGCGGGAAGGGGCTTATTTGGGTGGGCGCGAACAAGGGGGGGGGGGGGACAAGGGAAGACACGAGCCGGCATGAATTAACGCTCGCGGCCGGGGAAGGGCGGTGATATTAATTGGAAACATTGCTCTCGCAGAGGACAATGAAGCACGTGTCCTCGAGGCCGAACTTGATCACGTCCCGATGCCGGAGCTCGACAAACCGCCTCGGTACGATCTTCTCCCCATTCAAGAGGGTGCCATTGGTCGACTGGAGGTCGATCAGGTAGGGCCTAGGGAGAGGGGGCAGGGGGAAGAAAAAAAAAGGACAAAGGTGGGGCGGGGCGGGAGGGGAGGACGGTGTGGGGGTTGTGCGGGGGTGGGGGGGGGGGGGGGGGGGGGGGGGGGGGGTCCGCGGTGCGCGGGGGGGGGGGCGGGGGGGGCCGATGTTGGGCGAGTCAGGTCGATGAGCATGTGTGCGTGTATGTGCGCGTATGTGCGCGTATGTACGTGTATGTGCATGCGCAAGAGAAGAAGCACGCACAGAATCTGCGTGGCCACGGTGCCCGACACCGAGCCGGTGAGAGTGCGCTTACGGAACTGCACAACGGCATGCTGTCCCGAGACGGAGGGATGATTGACCGGGAGGTCCGCGGCGTTGAGGTCGCGCCCAACCAGAAGGGCACTCCGGTCGCCGAGGCGCATCATGGCTTCGAAAGGCGGGGGAACAGGCCGGAGACGCGTGGGTGTCAGGAGGCGGTAGGCAGGGGGGAGAGGACGGGGGGAGAGGACGGGGGGAGAGGACGGGGCAGCGCAGCGGAGAGAGAGAGAGAGAGAGAGAGAGAGAGAGGGAGGGAGGGAGGGAGGGGGAAGGAGAGATGGGGGAGTAGAAACAAAAGCATAGGCAGTGCGCACTTGGACTGCTGGCGCCTTCCGGCAGAATGGCCAGACGCCACTGGGGATCGCTCGGGCCCGGCCGGGCAGCCTCCAGCGGTTCGGCATACTTCAGCGCGACACCCTTCTCATTGAGGTTGGACGCGGCTGCTAGGAGGCCTGACAGACCGTAATCAGGTTTTTGTGGCGGCGGAGCGGCTTCATCGTCAGAAGCCCCCCCGTCGCGGCCAGGAGAGCGGTCCCTGTCCTGGCCGCCATGGCTGGGAGCCTCTGCATCCCGGCGGCCGCTGATGTGTACGAAAGCCCATGGGAATTAGTGTTGCCATGTGGATGGTAGGGGACACGGGGGGGGGCAGCCACTCAATGGTCAGTGAGGGCCAGCTGAGGG